ATAATCAAGAGACATCTCGATCAACATGCCCTTTATTTCTCCGAAAAACCACAAACAAAAAAGGTCAAGTTATCTTCTGAGAGCTTTCTTGGTTTGATGAGCAAATAACCGCTGGCAGAATACTCCAAGTGGAAGATGTTTTCCAAGACCGTGGCCAATACTGCATAGGCTGTTCTTAGACACGTGCAGCCTGGTGCATTATCGCATCTTGTTACCTCCCAAAGGCAGTCTTGTGCACTGGTCAGAGCTTCCATGAAGGCTATAAGTGTGCTTTAGGAGAACTTCCCTGCCTGAGGGGGTGGGCCAAGGAAGCCCCCTGCTTGCTTGGTGGCAGCCCGGGAAGGAGCAAGGCCGAGCATCTTCTGGATGTTCTGCAAAAACAAGAACAGAAAAGCAAGATAGTGTCAAAACAATGTGAGGGAGACACTGAAAGAGGAAGAAATCCCAGCTCTGCTTACAAAGTACAACCTTCCCACTAGCTTCAACATATTCAGGTTCTCACCCACCTAGCCTTACCAGTCTGGCTACTATATATTGGACCTCTATCCCTATACATTCAAAAAAGCTTAGCGCAGAGCCAGATAACCATCCACAATGACTACAATTAGAGCTGGGCCACTCTCGCCCACCTCAACAAAAGCCTTCTGATCTTTAAATACATATTTTGGTTGATGGTTCTTCTCCACCTCCAGCTACACACCACACACAGTCAGCTGGCAGGTACCTTGTTAATATCTTTGTACACAGGTTGGTTTAAAATCATCTCACAATAGTTATCTTTGTAATTTAACTGCAGTGCACACACAGGAGCAGGTTCTTAACATCTGCTTACAGGAAGAACCAAAACAAACCTCAGTTTTCACAAGTTCTAGAAACCCCTGTTGATGGCAGCCATCAGAGCCTGAGGGTCTGCAAGCTGGCGAGGAAGGCTCTCTCCTGATACAGCCGGAATTTGGGGCAGCAACATGGCAACTGGAGTGTATGCCAGGTTCAAGTCAGGAGCTTAGGCACAGAATTAACATGAATGCCAGTGATACAGACAGAACAATGGTTTGGTAGGAACACGCGGTATAACAGGACACATGCAGCAAAACTCGAAAACTGACTGAGATGACCTCATCTGCATCTGAGCAGGGTGCTTCAGTGGAAAATGACAAACAAGGAAAGAATTAAGTAGCAGAGCCAGGCATTAGCTAAAAATCTCACAGCAGAATATTTAAGTTGGATGTTTCTCTTGATTTTTGTGAGATTCCCTTTAAATTTTGCAACAGTGCAGCTGCAAAGAGCTACCAGTTCTTTCAGTTTAATCCTTCATCGTAAATAGCTACAGCTCAAGATGCTGCTCATGCAGTGCTGGTAGAACAGGAACATCTGATGCGAGGGAAAGAAGAAAATAACTGTGTCCCCCTCACGTCACCAGCTGAGTCCTGGCTATTGAGACAACAAAAGGAGGAAGGAGGATTCTCTTCAAACCCGAGTGTCCTGTCCAAAATAACTGTCAGGATAGGTCAGATAGCAAGGTCACAGAGTTCTTGAACTTTTTGATCATGGAAACAGACAGACAGACAGACAGAAAGACAGACAGAAAGACAGACAGAAAGACAGACAGAAAGACAGACAGAAAGACAGACAGAAAGACAGACAGAAAGACAGACAGAAAGACAGACAGAAAGACAGACAGAAAGACAGACAGAAAGACAGACAGAAAGACAGACAGAAAGACAGACAGAAAGACAGACAGAAAGACAGACAGAAAGACAGACCGAAAGACAGACCGAAAGACAGACCGAAAGACAGACCTTCATAATTCCAGTGTAGCTAAGTTAAAAAAAAAATCATTTCAGCTGGAGACTATGGAAAGGAAGGTTTCAGCCCACACACAAGCATGAAAGTAAAGGAGGGGAACACCTGAAAAGGAGTTACATCAGTTTTAGATTGTGGACTACACAAATCAGTCACTGGTTGACATTCAGCAACGGAATATACAAGAGCATTTCACTGTGGGAGTCTCCCTTGTGTGGTTCCTCTTCTCAGAGATTCCCTAGCCAAGAGATGGACAGAAAGGAGACAACAAAAGAAGCTAACAGCCAGACTCAGCAACAGCAGAGGGTGCTGCAGCGCCAGCAGCAGGCACAACCGGGATCCTACCGGCTTTCTACTGGCTCACCCGTGGAGCAGAGTAGAGAGATTTTAGCAGAGCATCCATGGAAGCAAGGGGCCTCCTCCCTGTTCCTGTCATATCAAGAGAGAAGAGAACTGTGGTGCTAAAGTTTGCTCCATCTGCTTGAGCAGTTCTAGGAGAAAGAGAGGTGACAGCTTGTCTGTGTGTGGATTCAAGTCTCCAGTCACTTTCCAGCATTATCCTTCCACAGGAGTCCCCTCCTCGCTGTGGAAGGGAAATGAAAAGCAAGTTTTGCTGGACAGCCATCCCAAAATCTACACAGCTGGCAACACCAGGGCTGGGGCAAGGTCCAGCAGAAACCTGTCCTCTCTGCTGTGTACCATGTTGTGCAAGGAAGGACCATCACCTTCAGGAGCAGGGAGGGAAGACTGAGATTAAGGATCCAAATTCTTCATCTGACCTCTTCTGAACTCTCCTCAAATAACTGAAGGAAGGACAGAAACTCCTTCTGCTTTTGTCTTCAAACCCAGAAGGAGCCTCAAAGACAAGGCAGTGAGTGGCTCCCTGCCCCAAGCTCAGGCTGTGTGGGAAAGCTCACTCCTGGCAGTAAGGATAATTGCTGGCTCCCTTTCCCACTGGGAACACATTTCAGAGAGAAGCAGCCTAACCTACAGTTCAGGCATGTGTGAAAAGGAAATGAAGATCAGCAAATGCCTGAGGAACAGCAGCATATTCCTCTTCACAAACAGCACAGGTGAAGGCTGGTAGCTCAGAAACAGGAGCAGGGACAGAGGATGTAACCCTGACATTATGCCTCCCACCCAGCCCAGCAGCAGACTTTCCCAGCTGAAACCAAACAGCTCAAGGACCCTTGGAAGGCCTCTCCCAGCAACACTCCTCTCTCCAAACAGGAAGGCAGGAGGAACTAGGGGACAGGATTTACGTGCCAGGGAGAGCTGGGAAAAGCGCAAAGGAAGTTACTCACTGCGAGTTGACTATTTTGGGAGATGCTGGCCAGGTCACAGGCAGCAAGCTTCCCAATCCATGTTTGAAGAGTTTATCACCCCCACATGCCTGAAGACCACATGAAGAGACTGCCTGATGCTGCTACTGCCCATCCCGCTAATGTCAGTTTAATCACGGTCCAGTTGGTCTCCCCACCCTCACATACCCCCCTGCATTTCCCTTCAGGTCACTGTTTCTTCACACACACACAAGTTCCTCTACTCTGAGCTCCAAAGGGATGTCTCTCTTCCCTGCCTTCGATCCCTTCACAGGCAGCTCCAGGATTTAAGAGAAGGCTGAGGGATATGTGCTCTCTTTTGTTCAGAACCTGCTCCCTGACTTTTGGTACACCTCCTCTCCTTGTCCTCCCGTGTCAGCAGCATCAAGCCAGACACTAATTCCCACATCAGTTCTCCTTCCTTGGGCTAACAGCTGTTTTAAAGCTGACCTGGCAAGATTTCCCCTTTTGCACACATACATAAATACAAAGGGTCACAAAGCTTTCACCTCCAAGGCCACTGAAAGCACCAAAAGCAAGTCTTTGGCACCACTTTAAGCCCTTAATTACTTTCTTCCCCTCTCCTGTCCTCTCACAGCCCTTCAAAGTCCTCTTCCCAATGCTGTTACCACTGAAGTTCCTTCAAATAGTAATAAAGCCAAGAGCAGGATGCCAGCAATTACAGGTTCAATTCCTAGCTTCTGCACAAACCAGCGTGGCTGCTCTCTGCCCTTCCCTCCATAGAGCAAGGAGGAAGAAACTGAGCTGGCTAACAGCTGGAGAACTGCAGATATATTTAACCATGACCACATAGATAAGGCAGCACTATGAAGACTGCAATCTAACACTTTTGAGCAAAAACAGCCTTCTCCAAAGCAATAAAGAGATTTCTGGGTCATCAGCATGAGCTCTCAAGTACAAGGGCATTTTTTTTCCAGAACTTGTCCTGAAAGCACAACCCACTGCAAACAGCTCAGCATTTCTGCCCAGAACCAGACTGGACCACTGCTCAGTTCATGCTGTCTACTGATTTCACAATAGGCAACATCTGGAAATGCCCAGGACTAGAACTAACCACAAGAATTGTATTTTTGGACAAAAAAAAAATCCATGGGGGATTTTTCAGCAAGGGAGTTCCCCAGTCAACCCAATGGATGCAGAAAGATTTTGCTGACAGTGCTATTGAGTTTCATATAATAGTCTACAACACTGGAAAGAAGGGACTCTCCATGTAACAGGTGAGTAGCACAGAGCAGCACCTGACAAGATTACCTGAAGGAACAGCAGACTACAGCATCCCACAAATTCAGGAAAGTGATCCTAAGAGCTAAAAAGATCTCGTTTATTTCAAAGCAGCAAACACTACTCCAGTTTCTGGGAAGTGAAACAAGATTTGTCTTGCAGCAAACAGAATGAGGAAGCCCCTGGCCTTTGGTACTCTGAAGCTGGCCCTGCTTGGAGTGAAGGGTGGGCCAGATGACCTCCAGGAGACCCTTTCAACATAAATTATTTTACAATTCATTAGCTGCTTTCACATAGGACCAGACAGATCCATTTCAAAACAACCACTCAATACAGAGGGCTATGGAGAATTTTATTCCCTAGCATGCACTTTGTGACTAAAGAAACTCTCTATTATTAAGCTGCTCCATCAAGCTCATCCAAACTTCTGACAGCAGCTGGTATAACACATCACTTCCCTTTGCTGATCTTCTTTAAGTCTTTCTAAGTTGCTTGGCGCGCCCTGAGGAAAAGCAACAAGTCGGTCAAGGAGAAAAGCAGCAAGAATTCAGGAAGTGAATAAAAGAAAAAGGAAATATAAATACAGAAGAGCAGATAATTTGCAGCTAGTTGCACCAGCATTCATCCAGCCCCCAGAGTCTATTAACTCATCCCCAGCACTCTCTGAAGAAATTTGGAAAACTAAGGAGACTGGTTGCACTGAAAAGGCTCACTTGTCCTCACCAGCCATTCTGCCACTTAAGCTACTTGTAAATCTCCTGAACAGGCATTTCCCTTTATCCTCACTGATGCTTCTCTTTTTTTAAAAAAAAAAAAAATAAAAAGATTGGAAACAGCCTTTTATTTTTATCTGTATAACTAAATTATAGCAATACATGGTGTCACCGTAGTTAATTTTTAAGCATCTAGGTGCCAGCAAAAAGGTAATGAATGAAACATGATGGAAACTGATATTTAAACTTGATTTTTTTTAACCTTTTATTTAAAAAAAAAAAAAAGGGGACAAACCAGCTTTGCTGGGGAGCTGTGCATAGCCTACTCTTGGCTTATCATACCAGACCCTTCTGTGTCACATCCCTATCACTGGGAGAGACTTGACACCAAAGGTACAGTTCTTAAGACTCTGAAGAAAAAAAAAAAATCAGACAGACAGCAAAAAGCAGGAAGGACAAACCCAAAAGAACAGGTTTAACTCTATAATTTTTCTAGCAAATGTATGGATTGACTGAACCTTTACAGAACCGAAAGCCACCAGGGAAGTTTCCCCTGAAGATGCTACACCTCTCTTTTCTCATATTACTGCAAAAGTCATAATTACTAAGAAGCAGTACTTAGACTGGCTTCTGATAGAGACAATCTCTTGGTATAGCAATATGAAAACTTATCAGACACACACATAGAAGGAACCCATTTCTGCCAACTCTGTCCTGGTGCAAGTCTCTAGCCAAGTATTCCACACCGGTTCAGAATAGTGGCTGTTTTTACGATCCTAACCTAGAATTGTTTTGAATACAAAGCATAGGAATGAAAGCAAACACAGAAACCACAAACAGATTATACATGCAAAACTGGACAGCAATAATAGACTCCTCTTTACAAATGGAGATGTATACCTGGAGCAGGGAAAGCACAAGAGGCACAGCAGTGTACTTACCTGCCTGATTGACATTGTGCAGAGAATGTAGAGGAAGATGAAGGAGCAGTCAGTGTAATCCTCACCCAGAAGGTTGCGGTGGGAGAGACCTTGGATGTATGAGAGGGGGATAAATGGAAGCTTTGCCACCACTCGGCCATCAAATCTGTAAAAGAGAGCACTGGATCGCAACTACAGACAGTAAAAAAGCCTTTGGCTATAGAAAGAACAAGACAGCATCTTCAACAGGCCACCAGAGCCATGCTGCCTTCTCTAGCCAACCTCTACATGCACTACACCAAGGAAGCTAAATACACCTCTCCCAAAGCCCTTTATCACCAAGTCTCCACAGGGTAAGTAGGGTTCCCTCAATAACAGTTTTGCCAGAGTCAGAAACAAAGTCTTTCATAGCAATTCAGGTGATCAGCTGGACAAGCTGTTGGTTCATAAAATCTTGGTTGGTGTTTTGCAGTTTATTGATGCATTTTATTTAAAAGTCAAATTTAGCAGAGTACTTCCTACAACACAGTCAGCACTTGCATAAAAAATGGATGACTGTCACCCTGCTATATTGCAGTTAGTGCAAGAAGATGGATACCTTGCTTTAAGCAAAAGAGCATTTCTTTAAGCAGAGCATAAACCAAAGACACCTTTTCCCTTCCTAGAGCAGCTATACTTCTTAGCACAAGAGAGCCATTGACAGAATGCTTTTTAATACCAGTTTTGTTTGCATTAGCTCTGAAGACAAAGACAGTGCAGAGGCAGCTTGATACCACATATTCCAAGCAGCCTGTCCTGCTCCTGGAACTCTGCCAGGTCCACATTCCAGGGCATCAGGCAGAGTGTGAATTCTGGCCGGTTTGCAAAGATTTCTCCCAACCCAGACAGTCAACCCAATCTTTTGAAGTAAGTGCGTATGATGCCTCATCAGCATGTGCATATCTGGATGTTATTTTCTCTGCATGCACTGATTTTCTAACAGGTGTTTCTTGTTTCAAGAGATCCTAAATGAGCGTTCTTTCCTGTGGAGATGCATTCACACAGCTACAGCTCAAACACACGCCAACTTTGTTTACATCTCACAGGCAGTTTGGCAAAAGAGCTAGGAACGGATGTTTATCTCCCTGTAACATCCCCCAGTGCCTTAAAATTCTGTGTTATTCATGCTGTGAGAATGACAAGTTCTTCAGCAGTAGCACCCTGAGGTACCTGCTTTTAGTTCCAGCAGGTTTTCACAGTTATCACGAAGAGGTACTGAAATGCACAACTCAGTAAGACTGAGAACTGATTGCATTAAAAAGTTTCTGACAAGAGAAAATTGAGACACACAGAAGCCAATTTCTCTCCCAGGAGAAATCCCATCTGCTTGGAGGCCACCACAACCACAGATCTTGCTGCCCTAGCATATGTTTTAAGTCATCACAGTAATTCTGCTCTTTGGGTTTAACCTTCCCGACACTGGCATATCCTTCTAGCATGGTCCACCCCACTGCCCCATTACTACTGGCACTCTAAGGAAGAGAGCCAGTCATCAGGGTAATTTCCATTTTGGCTAAGCTGGCACTTGGCAGAGGTGAGGCGCCCAACCACGGAGCAGCAGCGTCTACTTGTCCAAAGGGCAGCAGATCATGCTACTTCCATGCAACTCCTGCTCCTTTTGTCCCTCTGAGCAATGAACTCATTCAAGAAAAGGAAAGGCAAGCAAATGAGGCTATGGCCGTTGCAGGTCTCAGCCAGCCTTTTCCTCCTTTTCATACCACACCCACAGTGCCTCCATGGATAACCCGGCAGTAGCAGCTTCCCAGAGGGAGCCTCCTGAATTCATAACTGAAGTACTCTCCTCCTGAGACAAGCAGCTCCTCTTTATGCCATGTCAAGAGAATGACAGTACGTAAGTGAGAACCAGCTCCATCAAACCATTCTATCAGCTTCAAACAGTGCAAGTACAGCCCGCTGCCATTCAGATACAAATGCACCAGCTACCTTGTACCAAGACCAGGAGCAAAAATCTAACTATCTAGCCCCAAGGGCAAGACAGACAAATCTTTAGATTTTAATTCAATAGGCTCAGCTAAGAGCAAGAAAGCTATTTCAATTCAAACAACCAGTGAGATCTCTGGATACTCCTGCTGTTTGCGTTCAGGTTCCTCCTAAAGAAAGAGACAGTTAAAGGAAAGAACTTTCCTTTAACTTCATGTCAACTCTGTGGCTTGTAGCATGGTCTCTGTGGGCAGGAATCCTCAAAAGAGGAACAGGACAAATCAGCTTGGTGATCTTGAAGGAGAAGAAACCAATGAACTGATATTTAGGTTAATATCTATAGAAGCAGGAGCCACACAGGATTTAACCAAAATCAACTCCCCCCTAAAGCTCTCAATTAATTTACAATCCTGTAACACTTCTCAGTCATAGCATACTCCGAACTGCCTCTCCCCACTCTAGGAAAGCATGCAGAGTAAGGTGGGGTTTTTCAGTTTGTTTTGGGGTGGTGGTGGTGGTGTTTGTGTTGCACCCAGAGAGCCAGGCAAGCACTTGAATGCCTCAGGTGTAGCACTGTCAGTCCCCCATGGACACTGTGTTGGTGGGCACATGACTCAAAACACACCTTCATCCCCACTCAGGGCTGCAGTTCAATAAGACACCAATGACTTAAGACTGTACCCAAATTTTAAAGTCCTTTAGGGCTGTGTTCCTCTGCTCAGTTTCATTCCGGAGAATGCTAGATGCTGAAGTCTGACTAAGCTGAATAAAGAGGCCACAGAGTGGCAGCTCCATTATTACGTTACCCTCGTTTGCAATTTACCCACCCACAGATCTGCAGTAAAATAACAATTGACTGTATCCTGGGGACTGTCAGCACAGAGGCCAAAAGTTTGGGTGCCCAAGAACATAAAATCCTGTGTGCAGGTCAAATATCTTGCCCAGACATTAAGCAGCCTCACAAAGGTTATACTAACCACATTCACATCAATCTGAAGATTTAACAGTCGATGGGATGTCCACATTTCAAGACTGAATCAAGTTTTTTTAAGAGTCAAGCAGAGTCTTTCAGTTTTGCATGTCTGAAAAAACCTGGATATAACTGTGCAAACCAGTTTGGGCTTTTTTTTTGTCTTTGGGGTGTGTTTTTTTTTAACTAGACATATGCCAGGTCATGTGATTTTGTGATACGTTTTTAAAGCAAAGGAACATTAGAGCCCATGCCTGAACTTGTTAGTATCTTGACTCTGATCACCTTAAGTAGCATAACAAACTCTGCGATTATAGCTCATTTCTAAGGGGAAGGGAGCTAACCTGGTTTTGCTTGCGAGAGCATTATTTGGTCACACTATTACAGCAAAGCCAAAGAAGCTTAAGACGGTAGCTGCTTGCCTGACATCTACCAAACTTGCCCTAATCAAGATGTTCCCAAGCAGAAAGGATGTTAAAGCTGTGTCTAGATTAAATGCAATTTGTTCAATTTGATTGCATTAAGCACGCGGCGTTCCTTCTTGAGCAGAACGTGTGTGGTGACCAAAGAACCGCATCTTAGATCAAATATTGATCCACTTTATACAGATTAGATATGGTTCTTGGAGGGACTCCATCACTGTAATACTTCAGGTATTACCTGAAGATTTTCATTCACCATGGAAATTTAAGAAAAATTCAGAAAGTTGGTACTTACATGGAGTTAAACATTCCCATCAAGGCAGTGAAGCAGAAGCCAATAGCAAACATGGATTTCATCCGAACCTGCAAGCAGAAAGGTCAGAGATAATAAAAAATGGGCTACACTGAGGGAGCTCACACCCTTAAAAACAGGCTTTGTACAGCATCACTAGAATCTAGAAGGAAAAAAGATGACCCAGAAGGCCAGAGGGATTGTTAAGAGTAGAGAGCTCCCAAAGAGAAGTTTGGTCAACTGCAGGGTACAAAGGCAGCCACAGATTGGACAACTGATGTGAAGAGTTGCTTCGGGGGAAGGAAGTGCTCAAGAGTTGTCCTATTACATTTCACAGGTTTGTTTTTTTTTTTTCCTTAAACCTATATAACCAATCATCAGGGGATAATTATGAAGACAGAATTTAAAAGAAGTCAGACAATGAATTCTACTTTGAAAACATCATGAAGGCTTCTAAAGATTAAAATAGCTAAGGTTGGGCATGAGATGAGGCAGTAACTGCTGGAGAACTCTGTGGCTCATACTAAAATCTGTAGCTATTGAGATTATCCAGAAGTACCTGTCAGGATGGAAAGCTGCTATGTCTGCCAATTGAACAAAGTCTTTCTGTTGGAAAGCTGACTGAAACCTTCAGCAGTCGGGAACTGGCTTTAATTTTCTTACCATTGACAAGTCTCTGTTGTTATTCTTCAATTTCTCCTCTTGTCTCTCTGGAAAAACAAAAACAAGAACAGTTATAATCAGTTATACCAACCTAGAAACCAGAGTGTTTTCATTTCCAGGAAGACTTAACCTTGGCTCTCCAAACAAATAACACTTCCAAAACCAACTCCAGCTCTCTATATGCCAGGCAGTAGAAAGTGGAAAACTGTACAAAGCCAACTGCTTCTCCATCACAGCAGCATGTGGCTAAGCAGGCACAAAAGAGGAGGAGGCTGGAATCACACATTCAGCACTTTTGAAAGAAATGCACAGAAAGCCAAATTTGTTAACCAACTAGCACAGTAGCATGAACAGTGTTGTCAGAAAACAGAGACAGCGCCTCTGTATCACACTTCTGAAAGAGAGAAGACAATTTGCTGCACGCCAGGCTCACTATAATAAATACATTACATAAGAAGGGATTTCATTTTGGAGGTATCAGAAAGGACTCCGAAACCATACACAGAGCCAGGAGCTACACCTCAGCAAGGCTAACATCATGCTTGTCTTAGTAATGAATTTAGGACCCTTACACACCTAAAAGATTCTCCAAACAGAGAAGAAATTTTCTACATGACTTTCAGTAAGGCGTATATTACTTATGCTTTGCAACTAATACTTTCATATACTAAATTAAAAATTTAATCTGTCCTTAAGTCACCACAAGCTTCAAAAGCACACAGTTTTCTGGCATTTACCATGCCCCTCACTGGAGAAGTGCTCTGGCCTTGAGCATTATCCACTATCCACTACCTGTCACCTTTCTTGTCCCACATCCACTGTGCTTCTCTCACACTGAGGATCCAGAAGCACAGCCAGGCCTTGGAAACAACACCTAGCTGAAGTAAGGATGTCCAAAGAACAGTGTGAGTGAAGAGAGAGGGGATACAGAAGGACAGACAGGGGGGATCCAGCATGCGAGTCATCCAGTGGATCCCTGCCGAAGTTTCAGTACGAGGCCCACAGCACATAAGCTCAACAATTATCCTGCTTTAGGGGCTAGCAGTAAGTGTTATGAAAAGCAATAGCAACACCTCTATCCAACTTCTTAGAATCCTTATTGCTATTTTCAGTCGCTCCTAACTGCAAACCATCCCCTCTGACAGGAACTTTCCAGACACCTGCTTCCTGACCCAGGTGGAGAGTTTTGTTCTGGGACATTTCAGCAACCACAGGCCAGCTCTTTAGGAATCACATTTGGCACAAATACTTGTTTTTTCCCTCTGCTACATAACTAACCATTTATTTAGATGGGCTAAAGGTTACATAGGGATAAAGAATACAGCTCTGATCCCCCAATATACCTGACCTGTTTCCCACTCATTTCTACAAACTCAAAACAGGCTCTGGGTGTCCTACCACCTCACAAATGGTCTATTCCTGCCCAGCTCATACATAAGCAGCCTTAAAGTACATTGCTATACAGCTGGGAAGACGCATAGAGAAAGTGGACTGAGTCAATGAGCAGCACCCTGGAGTCCACAATCTCAGTCTGCTTATTGGAACACAAACCGGGAGCATACAGGGATACAGCAATAATCTTATTTGACAACATTGGCTTTATTTTGGTTTTTTGTTTTTGTTTTGCTGTCTACCCAGCACTCAGGTGGACTCCTAGGAACATCCCTGTCTTTTCTTCTACGGGCACATGGACACAGAAAACAGTAGCAAAGTTTAAGCTAACTAACTCATTCCTTAAGCTGAAATGACAGAAGGCTGCACCATGATGCTAAAGGTGTCCTGTTCCAGCAGCGTGAAATGCGATTTAGACACAACGTGACTAAAGTTGGTTCACTTTACACTTAAAAATAAAGAGTTTGATAAGTAGAAAACACTAAATTAAGCCTTCCCATGCAACTTCTACCCTATCTACTTGTACATATGCGTGATTCATCCCTTACGTAACCAAATAATATCACACATACACCTCCTGCCTTATTCCATGCAGAAAACAGATGGCAACTGAGGCAGGTCTGTACCACGGCTGTGTCTTATTTGTAAAGCCTCAGCTCATTATTATTATTTTTTTTTTAAGTAGAATGGTAGACTTTACAATGCTACATCTTGCAGAGTGATTTGACATCCAATAAGTTACTGGGATCAAAGATTTCAAAAGCAGTTAACAGCTGTGAGTCATTTTCTGGATGTCCAGCTTGACATTTAGGGCCTGATATTTCAGAAACACTAAGAATTCAGCTCCTCCTGAAAACAAAATGAGACACTGAAGTTATGCAGCACTTGCAAAAAAAAAACAAAAAACAAAAAACAAAAAACAAAAAAACAGTGAAAGTATCTTAGGCTTGGCCAGCAAGCATCACAGCAAACAAAATCAGTGGTCATTTCCTAAGTTCTGTTCTTAGTCCCTTTGTGCTTTGTTTTTCATTTGCAAATCAAGATTATTTCAGTGTATAAAAAAAAAATTGGTGGAGCATCTGAATTCCTCAGATTCTACTGTTTATTAGTTTAGTCCAAGCACAAGTAAAATATTCTCTGCTAGGAACATAGCTTGGATGATGTCCTGCAAAAAAGTCATTGCCACACATTCAAAAGTAACCGTATGTAACAACAGCATGTAACATTAAAAAGGTGCCTTATCCACCAAGCAGTATTTATCTCATGCAGGGCTTGTTCAAGATTAGGAACTGAAAATGCACAAGAGAATGAATTTTGGCTCCTGTCCCTTTAGGAGTCTAACGATAACAGGTTTTTACCTAGGAAGAACTGTTTGAAGATATGTTTATAATTATTCACAAGCTTTGTACAGATCAAATGACTAATCCAGCTACCTGGTGTTACAGAGGAATGAGGAAACCAACTCCCTGGAGCTCTCAGAAGTGTTCCTGCCATAATTTCTGTAATAATTTAACTGAGCTTTGCAGATAACAGAACTTCCTAAAGCTCACATCCATTAAACATCTACCATGTTGTTCTTGCATAGTTCAGAACTTAAAGAGTTACCTCTACCCAGAAAGACTTAAGCTTACTGACAAAGAAAAAGAATGGAAAAATAAGTTGCCACCTAAAATTGAGCAAAACTAATTTATCGAACTTGTAATAAATCTCAGCACAGTTACAGTTAACATGCAAATACCTTCAGCTCCGAAGCATTCAAATGAGGAAAAAAAAAATGAAAGATACAAAAATCACAATCATACAGTCATACAGCTATTGCAAGCTGGCAGCACACTGCAGCAAAGTGCTCTGACAACAGAAGTTAGTAAGTCATGGATATAAATGATCAAATCAGAAAAAAAAGCAATCAGTTTGGCAAGAAGAGCTGTTCCTCTCAGCAATGCCGCCCTTCTCTGAACTTGACTAAAACCATCTGGAGCCTAGATGTCTTCTGTCTTGGAAGAGTAACACAAAAAAGTGCTCACATTCCAGTCATCAGGCCAAGAACCAGCTCTAGTACCACTTTAAATAAACAGTTTTGAAAGGAAGGAAAGCATAATCAATTCCATAAGTTTTTCAGCTTCCCCCCATTCTTGGGGCACCACACTCCTCTCCTAGTCTTACCTATTTTCTTTTTCTGCTGTCGGCCTGCTGATTCAGTTATCGTTTCCTTCTTCTTTTCCACTGCCAAGGGAAAAGAGATATTCCATCATTTCTGCATAGAGATACCACCACTCCTTTTCCACATACCACACAGAACATCTTATTCCTTTAGAGAACAGGGGCACAAAAGCAAATTAGGTATGACTAAGAACATATTCAGAAACAAGTCATAAACCACCAAGGCTGACTCCACCAAAGACTTAATAAAAAAAAACCCTCAAAACCCTGGATGAGATACCAGAAAAAAGGGTTAATTTTAAACTCTGTTAAGAGACCATTACATTGTTAACTGAGCATTCTGGGGATAATTTTGGCTCAAATTACCCTTGCTGATTTGTCATTAGTACTAGACAGTACTTTTGATTCAGCAAGTGTAATGAAAAGCGCTTTGTGGCAAGCTCTGCTCCTGATTATCTGCAGTGGGAAGCAGAATACAGGAAAGCCTGTGTTCTCGTACATTGCTTCTTCACAGGCAGGCATTCTCAGGGGAAATGCTGTCCAAGCAGTCAGCCACAGCCTCTCCATTCTTCAATTAATTAGTACTGAAGCATTTCCAATATTTTAAAGTAGGAGCCTAAGCTCAAAGTTACTAAAATCCCAAATCAGACACTCACCAAGCATCTGCAAACAACTACCACGGCAGCGCAAAAGGCTAACACAGAGCCAGCACAGTGAACTTGTAACACAGTAAACGGGCTGCTCACCCGCAAATGCTCTTCTGATGACAGCAGGAAGTGCTTTTATAGAAAGCAAGAGACATCTCAATTTAAGACCTATAACAAGAGTACTACAAGAAGGGAGGATGATAAAGCATGGCTATGGTCTAATAACAAATTGGGTTTTTTAATCTAAACTCTGTATCTGTATCATTTCTACTCTGTCAAGGAATAGACCTGGCTCCTTGTTAGCTCACAGAATCAGCTTAGAGACCTGGGCATTAGAACTCTTTTTTTTCCCCACAGTAAGTACTAGCTGAGCACAGATCCAGCCTTGATTTCAAAGCACAGGTGAAATAAAGACACTCAGCCTTTAAAGTCACACAAGCATTTGTAGTGCTGGCTTCTGAAACGCCTGTGATATGTGAATCAGTCACAACTGCTATGAAAACCACACTAGCCCAAACAAGACACCTAAACATCATCTCTTCCGTGGCAACACAGTAAGACACAATTGTTTTTTCAAATAATAAGTATATCTCTGATGGGCAGGCTAGCACAAGGGGAAAAAACAGGGAAGTCTGCTCAGAGGGAGTGTGGGAGAGAGGTGTCAGATGACACAACACGCCCAGTGCTCACAGAATGCTCTCTCCATAACCTTCCTTACGCCAAACCCAGCTGTGGGATCCCAATCAGTCCATCCCACCCTTAGTCCACATAACTCCATGGCCCCCGACTCTAAACCCAACTGAAGAACACTAACTCTTTTCAGGCCTCCCTACCGCTCCCAGCCCTAAGAGGGCTGCTCCAGACCCCAGCTTCACTCTAGACAACACTGCTGAGCCTTATGCTAACCCTGAGGAACTCCAGAGCCCCAATTCTCTTAAGGTTTGAGCAGAACTAATAACCACCAGGCAGTCTCGCAAACCTGTCCCCGGGAACATACATGACATGACACAGCAGCAATTCTAGAGATAGCCTTCAACCTTGCACATTTACCACTACATTTACCTCAGAACACTTACTATAATCTCAGCAGCAGGCTCAGACAAGGCTGTGCCTCTCAATAGAAACAGGAGGAGAGGAAGAGATGAAACTAAGGACTGTGAGGTACAATGTCTGCTCAAGCACACTGCTCAACCCATTTGTTTTTGCAAATCCTAAGGATTGCTAGGACTCTCATGGGAGAGCTTAAAGGTCTCAAATGTGTTTTTTCCTGTTTCAGATGTGTTAGATAACAGTTGAAAGGTGTGGCTCAAGTGGTCCACTCTGCAAGTTATCTGTAAACCATCAGGTCAGACAGATGTCCTTAGCACAGGAGGGGAAAAAAAAAAAAAAATCAAAGCTGAATTTTTAGTGACTCTTTACTTGAATTTACTTTTTTTTTGTTGGAGGTGGGGAAATCAAACAAAGAGGTTAGAAACTTATTGAGATGCATGAGCCTCACATCTTTCCCTTCACAGATTATAGCCTAGATACAGGGAGAGCTATAAAAACAAACAGCATTAAACTCTCACAGCAATCATTAAGCCCCAGAGATTAAGCCCTGCTAACTGCTTTTGGAGTTCCACAGCACAAACACACTGGGACACGAACTCTTAAATTTTCAGATGGGTCTCAACTACTTCTCTACTTGCTCTTCTGGGGCTAATTCTACCCTACATGATTTTGTCAACCAAGTGGGACTAAAGTGAGGCAGGCAGAGACGCAATCCCCATCTGAATACTGCTGTGATGACATCCCTGGAGGCATTCAAGGCCAGGCTGGATGTGGCTCTGAGCAGCCTGGTTTAGTGATTGGCAGCCCTGCATATGGCAGGGGGGGTTGAAACTAGATGATCACTATGGTCCTTTTCAACCCAGGCCATTCTATGATTCTATGACAAAAGCCCCTCATTTCAGAGCTGTGACACAAGCATGACTGTACTTCTTCAATTTATTTTGCTCAGGGGAAGGCTGAAATAAGCTAGACTGGAAAAAGCATGCTTTGATAATATTGTTATCTCATGCACTAAGAGCGCTGACATAATGGTGAAATATTTTTAAGGTAAAACTAGCTCAGGTTTGGCCCAACTTGTTGCAGCAGTAAGAGACAGCACACAACATGTGTAGGGTACATACAATTGTGTTTGAAAGGTCAGCGGAATTTCTCCTCTGTTTCTTGGCTTCTGAAACAGACACGTCCATTGAAACACTCCATGCTCAGACTGTTTACCATTCCTCTTAATATCCGATGCCTGTCTTCTGACTGCTCATCCTCAGCTCCCTTTTCCCTTCCTCTCTCATCCTTTGTTCAACCCCTCCCAGGCATCTCATACTTCATCTCTATGGAACTAACCTGGGACTTTTTTTCGTAATCAATACTATTTGTTTCCAGTTTACACTAGTATAATTTATTTTTATTGTTATAACAGCTGATAGCTCAGACCTTTCTATCATGACTTTGTCTTTACTCATCCCCCTCCATTAATCATCACTTTTACTAAGTATAATGCTTCCTCTCATGGCATTCATTATGCCTAGTTCTTTCTTACTACAGGTCTCAAATTCTCCACTGCCCTTGAAAAAGCAGAAACTGCATCTCTCAACTTATTTCATGCATCTGAAGGAATCTACATCTACAGACACTGCTTACTCATGTTCAGAAAAGAAATGCCACTACCAATCTCCTACTCCCTCCTGTTCTCCATCAAGAGGAAGGGCAATTCAGACAACGCAACACGTTTTTGTATTAACCTTCCCTCCAGCTAAAGACAGGAATTAAGGACAGAAATAAGTCCTCTCAGTATACATTTGTGTATCTTGTAAAATTAGGCTCCTATAAAATCCAAGCTGAATAAAATTCTCCTCCTTAGCAGAAGAGGCAGCAGATCAGAGCACAGACTCCAATTTTACATCTGCTAAAGCAGCATGTAACAGGAACAGCAAGACACATTCTCTAATGTCTGAAAAGTACTTACATTTCTTGCTCTGTTTTTCCACTTCAGCCTTTAATCTCTTGTATTTGTCTGTTCGATATACCAGCACCCAAGTTATACCTGAAACAAATACTCAGCAAGTAACTACATTAAGTAAAAACCTCTTGCAATGATAGGGATACAAGTTAGCAAATACATATGCAAAACAATACACATCATGTCTACAAAAAACATATTATAACACAGCAAAGGTACCACAAATCCCCAGAAAGACATATACCCATATCTCCATCATCTTTGGGAAGTCATGGGA